GAAGAGTATATGTATGATATAGAATATAAAAAAGGAGTTGAAAACGTAGTAGGTGATCATTTGAGTAGAAATGTCTTAGTAGTAAAGAGGAAAGAAAAGAAAAAGAAACGTTGTAGTTGTTGTAGCGAACAGAGCAAACGAGAACATGAAAACGTGGAAAATACTCCAGAAGAAATTGAAAATAATGGGAAAGAATCGATAACAGTAAACTGTAAAAATATTGCTGAGGAAAATGTTCACGAGAGAGGAAAAATGATCGAGGTAACAGATTTTCAGAAAATGAAAGAAATAATTAAGGAGTAGCATGACAGTATTATGGGTGGTCATGTCGGACAAAAAGCAATTATTGCGAAAATTAGAGATATACGTGGAAATATACGTGGAAAAATTTAAATGATATAATTGCAGATAATGTAAGAGCCTGTAAAAAGTGTAAATTAGGTAAAATAGATATCCTACTAGACTGCCTAAGCAAATGGTTTCAAATGCTTCTTGTGCACTCGAACAAGTCAGCATGAATTTAACTGGTCCTTACCCAACATCTGAAGCAGGAAATTTATACGCAATATCACAGTTTATGTTTAGGAATTTATCCTACACACAAAGTAACGCTTCCTGTTTACACTATTTCAAGTGCATTGAAGCTAACTTACTGTTTATGCTGGTTCAGCTATAATCACTGTAGTCAAGCTGCACACAGTATTCTTTACGTTCCTTATGAGCAATGTTGCGCTTATGGTTCCTCCTATAGGAATTAACTTACATACGGCAAACACCACCACACTTATTTTAAGAATGCAAATCCCAGCATAATTAATTTGGTTTGGTTAGTTTTTGCTTGATTCTTTAAATTCAGTTCGAGTGAAGCCAACAAACAACTTGGTCTAAGTTTTTAATGTATAACAAAGATAAACAAAATTTTCGAATAATTGCCTCGAGGAACCAACAGGATATATAGAAATAAACAAACATGGTACAACACTCTTATTTATTTTAATTGATTTTTCATTTCGGCGACCTTTGAGATTTTTTATAGATACATGTGCATCCTCTTTCTTTATAAATCCCGAGTTTATAAAGCCTGAAGACCAAATTGATATAAAACCCATTATGATAACAACAATTCTTATATCATACCCTATAACAAAAAAGTCACTGTCCCCATGTTTAACCCATTAAGTAGCAGGCAATTACAGACTTGAAATTTTACGGTGAAGTTTCTATAGTAAATAGTGAAATAAAACAAGTTTAACCAAATGAAAAAAGTTTAATATTTATTTGAAAGTTTCACTTTCTTTTTACCTAAAAAATATAAAATATTCTTTGAATATTAAAAAATATTCAAAGCTAGCCATGTGGTGTACCATACGGTGGTTCAAAATGGGTGGTATAGGTTCAGCTTCATAATTACTTTGATGGCCTATTGGGACTGGATATTCTAAAAACTTATACGCGAAAATTGAGCTTCCGCAACAAAAGCTTACGTCTTGTTACGTCTGAAGGTATATATAAAGCAAAAAACTGCTTGAGTTTAATTGAAATTAATAACTCAGATAAAGACCAAACGCTATTTGTTGAACAACCACTGAAAACATAATAATAATTGGGACACTTGTAATAGACAACCGGTGCCGCTGTGCAATATTTCTGAAATACTTAGAACATACCATCTTAACCAAGAGGAGAAATGTGAATCATTAAACCTTTGTAGACATTATAAGGAAATATTTTTTAAAGAAGGTAATAATCTAAGTTTCACTAACGAAGTTAATCATTCTATAATTATTTCAAATGACATACCCATTTATACAAACTCATATAGATAACCCTATACACATAGATGAAGTTAACACTCAAATAACAAATATGCTTGAACAAGGGATAATTCGGTCTAGCTATTCACCTCACAGTTCCCCTGTATGGTTCCGAAAAAAAAGCTGAAAGCGGTAAACAGAAATGGCGATTAGTCATAGATTATCGTAAATTAAATGAAAAAACTATTTCAGATAGTTACCCATTGTCTAACATTACAGACATCTTAGACAAACTAGATCTAGCTAGTGGCTTCCATCTGATTGAGATGAATCCACAAGATATTCCTAAAACTTTATTCACAGTAGAAAATGGCCACAATGATAACATTCGGATGCCATTCGGTTTAAAGAACGCACCCTCCACATTTCAACGAGTAATGAACAATGTTCTAAAAGATCTCATTGGTAAAACATGTCTCGTCTACCTCGACGATATCATAATTATCTCCACTTCATTACACGAACACATACTTTACATTAAAAAAGTGTTCAAAAAACTAAAAACTGCAAATTTCAAAATACAAATAGATAAATCATCCATTATTACGAGAAAATATTCATAAAATTATTAATAACTGTGAGGTATGCAATGGTGGAAAGTACGATAGGAAGCCAATCAAAAACAAATTTTTTATAATTGAAACACCCATAACTACGAATGAGATAATTCATGTAGACACATTAACAACAAACAGACATTTGTTATTTTCATTGACAAATTCTCAAAACATGCAATATGTTTTCCGCTAATGGACAGAAATAGCCGATCATTAGTGTCAAATATTCAGGAGTTTATATCAATTAAAGGTAAAATAAAAAAATTTGTTTTCGATAACGAATTTAATAATGCAAATGTGATGGAATATCTCAATAATGAAAATATAGAGTTCCACTTGACGAAACCAAATAGTCATACTGGTAACGCAGATGTAAAAAGACTAAATAACACAATAACTGAAAGAATTAGAAGTCTGAATATAGAACAGAAAATCCCTGTTATTGATCAAATGAACAAAGCTATTTGTTTAGAATTAAGGTTTATACTATTTGTTTAGAATTAAGGTACATTGTATTATGGTCTTTATTTATTTTATCATTTTAATTGTGTCGTAGCCTTTAAGCACGCGCAAAAAGGCGGCGAGTGGCTTGGAGGTTTGTAAAAAAGAAAACGTGAACGTAAAAAGGTCAGTAAACTAACTGAATAAAAACACTATTTATTGGTATAACAATACATACCACGCAACAATAAAATGTACGCCTTTTGACGCACAAAATAATAAGATAAACCATGATAATATATTAACGAATTTGAGACAATATAAAGAAAAGAAAATAACTTAAGCAAATAGGAACAGAGAAAATTATTCTGAAACAAGGCAGGAAGGTTTCATAAAAAATGAAGCAAAAATGTTACACACACAAAGATAAGCCAAAGATTATCAAAAAACCTAATAAATATTTTAATACTACAGATACTGATATACACCTTAATCCTAATAATAATAATGGGATCAGTGCAAACAAAGATGATAATACAGCCATTAATAACTAACATCTGATTCCACTGCGGTATATCGGTTAAAATATTCCTGCGGTAAGCCATCCCTGTCATACGAGGCGACTAAAATTCAGCCAGGCGTCGGAGGGTGTGGCTTAAAAGGTCACAATAACCCTGAGAAGCTCCTGAGCTAAGCCGAGTAGACACCGGCTCTAAGTAAGCGTCCACCATCCCGGGAAGGCAACGAGGGACATCCAAGTGCGTGGAGAGTGGTTAAACAGCTGCGCACCATCGAGGGACATAGGAGAGTGCACTGTTCCAAGAGCGGGTAGTTGCACCATCGATGGAGTTCTTTCGTGCTCAACGTAAAAACTATGCTAGACACGAAAGTTGGAAAAATGCATGCCAAAACAGGTAATGCATTTGCAGATAAGTATAAATAGGAATTCAGGGTTTAAACACTCATCAGGATCGAGCCCAGTAAGATCCGGATTATGGCATACTGGAAGAAATTTACAACAATGATGATTTTCGGGCTGGCGGATGTAGTATTCTGTTATCTGAGTATTTGAGAGTGACATCGCATAGAAGTGGCTTTCAGTTTAATGCCACATCTTCCTCCGTCCTTTTAAAATTTGGCAAGTCTCCAAGTACGTTCGATGTCTCGTGAGTTGGTGGTATAGGTTCAGTTGAGAACACTCCTGACCTGCGCCAGATCCTGGCTCTGAACACAATCTTCCATAAGGAAATGTGTCAACCCTCGCATGGCCTCCCTGCTTTGCATAGATAACCATGGGGATCGTCATGAGCGACTATATAATCGAACATCGATAGCGGCTAGGAGTTAGGACCCAAAAAACATGAATAATAACAAAACACAAATGTCAACGGAAGTGCCAGTACAAGAAGGCCTAAAGAAGTCCACAATGGACGAGGGCACGCCAAAGGTGTCACAAAAAAACGAATGGTGTGAATGTACAAATGCTAATACAAGATGGCCTAAGGAAGTCCGCAACGAGCGAGGGCACGCTAAAGGTGCCACAAAAGACGAATGGTGTGCTCATTTCACCGGGAAATGAGTACAAAATTAAGAAAGAAGAGGCGAAGACATTTGAAAAATGCGTAACCGCCCTTAACAAAATAAAGTAAGCCATAAATCGGCAAAGAAATGTCTCGACGGACATTAAAGAAGGCGTTCATGAACTGCAAATGCAGTTTGATTTGATGACCGTTTTCCACCAAGGTTGGGTTAAGGCAGTAGAAAAAAGAGAAAAACTGCGAAAAGAAACTATTCTGACTGCCACATCGAACGTGCAACGACAAAAGCGTGTGGCGACAAGTCCAGTGGCGCAAACAACAGAAAATGAGAGCGCCAAAAAGATTCGAGAAGACAGATCCGAAGAATGGCAAACCGTAAACCGGAAGAAGCCTAAAAGCCCAAAGGCAAACGAGAAACAAAAAAATGATACCCCTGCCACCTCGAAGGGACAAGTGAAAACAGCTGCCGACACGAAAAAACAGTCAAAGACCACGAGCAAGATAGAGGCAGAAACAAGGAGGACCAAATCAAATAAGGACAGGGGTCCGAAGACAGAAGCCGTCCTTATAAAACCGACGGAAGCCAAACCTACGCGGATATTTTAAAAAACTTTCGTTCGAACGTCAAGCCGGGCGATACGGAAGTCAAAATGCGCGCAGTTCGGAAGACAATGTCGGGAGCTATATTACTAGAGCTTGATAAAGGGACCAAGGCAAGCCTAGAGTTCTGCGAAAAAATTAGGAGCGCTTTGCAGGAAACAGTGAGGGTAACCGGGCTAACACCGACAACCACGATAGAGATAAGGGACCTTGACGCGCTCACGACAACTGCTGAAGTCGAAGAAGCAGTCAAACGAATCCTTCCAAATGGAATTGATCGATTGAAAGCCATGGTCACTAAACCGAATAATCGAGAATTGGTCAGAGCTTGTGTGCAACTCCCAACTATAGCAGCGGAAAAGCTTCTTGAAGCAGGCTCAATCACTATTGGATGGATCATAGCGAAAATGCGGATGCGCACTGAAACTAAGCGCTGTTTCAGGTGCCATGGCGTAGGACATATTCAAAGAAATTGCAAGGGTCCAGACAGAACGACTCTTTACATCAAATGTGGTGAACCTGAACACAAATTAAAGGATTGCGCGAACCCTCCAAAGTGCTGCATATGTTCTGACGCTGGCCTTAAAACCATTGATCACATCGCCGCATCTGGCAAATGTACATCGGTTAAAACCCAGAAATGACAAGACTTCTGCAAGCAAACATGCACCGAAGCAAGACAGCAGACGCCCTTCTATTACAACTCGTGCATGAACGGTACGTGGATGTTGTCATAATCAGCGAACAGTATAGAGAAATCAATAGTGGTGCCTACATGGCTGATAGCAGTGGAACAGCAGCCATTTGGCTTCCATGCGCTAAAAACTTCCCTTTTTTGGTTAGCGGTGCTGGAGACGGATACGTTTGGGTGCGAAACAGCAACTTCACCCTTATGAGCTGCTATCTAACACCTAACGACAGCATCGGCGAGTTCCAAACAAAAATAAACGCAATCCAATCAGGCGGCAACTTCATCATAGCGGGTGACTTCAACTCGAGGGCTATCGAATGGGGTATGACGACCACAAACTCTAGAGGTAGGCGAGTCCTCGATATGGCGGCCAGATTAGGGCTGGTAGTCGCAAACAGGGGAACGGTTCCCACATTACGCAGACTAGTATGCGAAGGCACAATCCCAGACATCACGTTAGTGTCAGAGAGGATAACGAGTACGCTAAAGAGATGGTCAGTTGTGGAGGACTTCACGGGCCGTGACCACCAATACATCTGGTTCACCGTCGAACCACTCAGCAGGCCAAATGGAAACTCCGGAAGAAAATCTACCCGCAAATGGTCCACGAACAAACTGAACTAAAATATTTTCCTCGAGGTGTTTGATGAGGGGATGAGAAACGCTGGAGGGAGAGACGCCAGAAGCTTGGTCCGCCACACAATACAAAGCATAACACAGGCCTGCGACGCAGCAATGCCTAGAGCTGCAAAAAAACTCTGGAAGAAAAGCAGCCTACTGGTGGACTGATGAAATACCGTCCGCTTTGTATGCTCGACACATCAGGGAAATTGTTGGAGCGACTGCTTAAACCGCGCAGAGCAGAATTTATCGAGATCGCTGGGGGACTATCCAACAGACAACACGGTTTCCGGCCAGTATACCATAGGAGCTATTGATGACGTGGTGGCATCCGTAGAGGCTGCACAGCGTGGCAATGCCTACTCGAAGCGCATAGTCCTTCTGGCGGCTCTAGACATCAGTAACGCATTCAACAGCCTACAATGGGTTGATGTGATCAACGCCCTAGAAAGGCGCTTTAGTACACCTATGTACATATGTACGAAATATTCTCCATCGAAATGCCAGACTACGTTCACCTAGTCGGCTTTGCTGATGATGTAGCTGCAGTCATCACAGCTCGAAATGTGCACGAGGCACAACTCAAACTGCAACAGGTGATGATACGCACGATGGCTTGGATGGACGACCGTGGCCTAAAACTAGCAACCGAGAAGACTGAACTGATCTTACTAACGAAGCGGCAAATACCCTTGGAAATCGAAATGCAGATCTGGGACTCGACCATAAAAACATCCAAGGTAATGAAATATTTAGGCATCCATCTGGACTCCAGGATGTCGTATTGGGCTCAGATAAATCATGCTGTCGAAAAAGCTTCAAAGGCCTCAGCGTCCCTTAGCAAGCTGATGACAAACGTTGGTGGGCCAACAGAAGGTAAACGAAAATTGCTAATGGCAGTAGTGAACGCAGTACTACTCTACGGTTCGGAAGTATGGTCAAACACCTTACAGATTAATCAGAAGCGCAATGCGCTCCAAAAAGTCCAGAGAACAGCTGCACTCCGAGTAGCATCAGCTTACCGAATTGTATCCGGCGCAACGGTTCTTGTGATCAGCAGCGCAATACCCATCGACCTCTTGGCCTTGGTACGAAGGCGAGCATATTTAAGCCGCCAAAACAACGACAACAACAGCGTGAGCACAAGCTACCGAGAACACATAATGCAAGAATGGCAGAACAGGTGGAGCAACGAAACTAGTGGTAGGTGGACTGCAAGACTCATTCCCGATTTAGTGACATGGGCAACAAGAAAGTTCGGCGAGGTCAACTTGACGTAACTCTTCTCTGGGCACGGATACTTCGGCAAGTACCTGTACCGGATGAACATTCGCGAAGAACAGAGTTGTATTTACGGCGACGCAGAAGTCGATATTGCAGAACACATATTCTTCGAGTGTATTAAATGGTCAACCGAGAGAGCCAGGCTTGAAGCACAGATTGACGGCATGTGGACCCCGGAAAACGTAGTACATTTACTATTGGCAAGTAAAAGCAACTGGTCCGTGGTGGCGAGGCACGTGGAGGCAGTACTGCGTGGAACAAAGAGGCGCCTGGACGCAGGTACAACAGCAGCGTCGTAAGATTAAATCTTACAATCAGGATGTGCATAACCTGAAGCAATACCTAATGGTGGTTCCGGGTCATGTACTTCATCCGGGAAAGAGGAGTTTTTTTGCATGTCAGCGACTAGCGCGAACCGTGCACTACCCACAGAAAGACGTTTCTGCGGGTGTGTGTAGACATTTTTTGTTCCCCAGCCTCGAAAAACAAAAAAAAAACATCGGATACGCTGAAATTCACACGGATTATCTGAATATAGCAACGAGATCTGACCTTATAGTTCATACAATAAACATTGATGACTTAATCAACACTCTGTTAATAGTTGAAAAGAGTACTAAATGTTTTTCATATAAACAAAAACACTTTATCAGTAACTTCACTACTGATAAAGTGTGAAGTTATTAAGCAAAATAAAATCAATTAGACCAAACAAAAGACAAAAACGTGGACTCATTAACAAAATATTACGTACAGCATATCTTTTTGGCACAATGGACGATAGTGATCAAGAAGACATACTAAATCATTTCAATACTGTTGACTATAACCTACATAATACAATAAAAAACTTAAATCAACAAGTAAAATTGAATGATAATTTCAATACATCTATTCAACTAATAAAGAATACAGTGAGTCAAAACCAACAAAAAGTTATTGAGCATTTAGGAGAACTTCATCAAACCATTAAAAATAAAAAAAAAAACGCTCCTAACACTATTAATGTTAAGAAATGATATAGAACACATCCAAAACTATATAGTTAACGACATCAGAGAATGGACTAACCAACGCAAATATTCTAACGAAACAAAATATGTTTATGTCGTAATATAAACATTGACAAAATAAGATACCAAAGAACAGCTATTTTAAAAGTTAATGAAAATTTAGTATTTATAATAAAAGTACCAAAAGTATTTAATAAAGTAAGAGCAACGATGTTATTTTCCATACCAAATTCAACACAAAAAAAAAATAGAAGCAGCAACAGAAAATGTTTTTAAATATAATAACAACATATATACTCATAATGAGAACCATTATTTAAACAAATGTGAACTATTAAAACATCGTACTTTAACGAAAACGTAAATTAAGTAAAAATCAAGATACTGAAATAATACAAAGTGATAGGCAAATTATTATATTAAAAAATGCAAAATATTGAAATATTCTATTTATACTGATTAATACTGATTGTGACAAAACAAATGTAACGCTAAGGGCAGAATGTCTCGGCCACGGCCGTTTCAATTCCGGCATGAGAGCCGGCTTATGTGTGTCCCGGCACTAAGGCAAACAGTAACATAGTCTATTTTAATTACCGCTACGCGATTATTAATCGAATTCCTACATTTTCCGGTTTGCGCTGACGTTTAATTTTGTAAGTACTATTAAAATACTTTAGAAAACCACATAATATTATTTATTTCACAGCGAATACTTTGTTTTCTTGTTATTAATTTTTGTGGAATGGCACTTCGTTGGGAGAAAGAAGTAACTGAAAAGCTGATAACTATGTGCCATGAACGCTTGTGGGAAGTAAAAAAGACAAATACCATGATAGAGAGGCGCGGGATCAAGCATTCAACGCGGTGATTGGGCTAATGAAACCCGACATCCCAGTGTTAACTCTTATGGAATTGAAGAGAAAAATACAAAGTATTAGATCTCAGTTTCTTAGAGAGCTACGGATCATCAGCTCAAGCAAGCGAAGTGGAGCTGGATTGGAAGATGTGACAACTTCAAAGTTGTGGTGCTTCCATTTACTGAAATTTCTTCGGCCATCAGTGGCAATCAGAAAAAGAACATCCAGTTATGAGGAAACTGTAGGCATTGTTTCATTTGTGAAATATAATAAATTACTATCTATAAATATATTACAAAATTTTTTCTTTTTTTTTATAGAATGGGCCAGTTGAAAAAAGAGCAGGAGAAATTCCTTTATTTGAATCTGTGAGTTTATTGTCTTGGCGCCATGTTATGCAGAGTGTCTCGGGCACGGCCGTTCCAACTCCGGCATGAGAGCCGGCTTATGAATGTCCCAGCACTAAGGCAAAACGTAAAACAATGCTAAGGCACTAAGGCAAACAGTTACATAGTCTATTTTAATTACCGCTACACGATTATTAATCGAATTCCTACATTTTCCGGTTTGGCGCTGACGTTTAGTTTTGTAAGTACTATTAAAATACTTTATAAAACCACATAATATCATTTATTTCACAGCGAATACTTTGTTTTCTTGTTGCTAATTTTTGTGGAATGGCACTTCGTTGGGAGAAAAAAGTAACTGAAAAGCTGGTAACCATGTACCAGCTGCACGAATGCTTGTGGGAAGTAAAAAAGACAAATACCATGACAGAGTGGCGCGGGAACAAGCATTCAACGTGGTGATTGGGCTAATGAAACCCGACATCCCAGTGTTAACTCTTATGGAATTGAAGAGAAAAATACAAAGTATTAGATCTCAGTTCCTTAGAGAGCTACGGATCATCAGCTCAAGCAAGCGAAGTGGAGCTGGATTGGAAGATGTGACAACTTCAAAGTTGTGGTGCTTCCATTTACTGAAATTTTTTCGGCCATCAGTGGCAATCAGAAAAAGAACATCCAGTTATGAGGAAACTGTAGGCATTGTTTCATTTGTGAAATATAATAAATTTTTATCTATAAATATATCCCAAATTTTTTCTTTTTTTTTATAGGATGGGCCAGTTGAAAAAAGAGCAGGAGAAATTCCTTTATTTGAATCTGTGAGTTTAT